GTCATGTGTTGACACACATTTTGGTTGTTTCTAAGTTGGGCTATAAAGCTGCTATGAATATTAATATACAGGTCCTGGGTGAATGCTTTTTCTTTGCCTAAATATCTAGGAATGGAATTACAAGGTCACATATGGAGCATCTATGTAACTTTGAAAGCAGCTGCTGACTTTGTTCTGCAATGTACTATTTCATTCCCATCAGCCATGTAAGAGAATTCCATTTTCTTCACATCTCAAAGGGATTTTTTTTTTTTTTTTTTGATGATGGTACTGGGGTTTGAACTCAGGTCCTTATGCTTGCCAGCCACATGTTCTACCACTTGAACCATACCTCCAGCCCTTTTTTGCTTTTAGATATTTTTTAGGTGGGGTCTTCACATTTTGCCTGGGCCTTGAATCAAGATCCTCTTGATCTCCAACTCCCTAGTAGCTGGGATTACAGGTGTGAACTGATGGTGCTAGGCTCTCAAAGGCATTTAAAAAAAAACCCATAAATTAGGCATTTATATTTGTACTTTTGTCATTCACATATGTAATTATCAATGATAGGTAGTATGTGCTAAAAACACTGTGCTATGTATTTATTCATGTTTTCTTTTCTCCATATAGGACAACAGATTAAAACATTTAAGTCTAACTGGCACATACACAACATTTGCACTGATGGTTTTTTTCTTTTTTTTTTTTGCTATTACTACTAACTTTTTTAAAACAGAGTAGAATTTACTAGTCAGGTGTTCTAGAGCTATGTCTTCAGAAATATCATGTTTAAATACGTCAAACATATCTCTAGCTTTTCAAATACTGATTTTAGCTAATTCCCAGAAATGTTGTACTAATTTATTTTTGTAGCTTTTTGTGTTTTCCTTGTTCTTCATGAAGTCTTAAGTTTCTATTATTACTCTTCATTTTTTGGTCTAAGAAAAATATACAATGTCTTTACCACATATTCTTCAAGGCATATATATTCTATGAAACCTTTTTTACTGTTTTGATATTTACTGAATTCACAAAAATAAAACCCTAAAAAATGTAGATGCCGAAGCTTATTTCTCCTTTCAAAATCTTAGGCTCTGTTTACTCTTTAGTTTCATCAAGATTTTTGAGAATGTGATATTTTTAAATGTTCAAATGGTTTATTGATATTTCGTATGCAATCAAATTTTTATGGAAATGTAAAATGATTGTACAAGCATCAGGTGTTTTATGATAAACCTAAAATAACTAGCATCTACTTACCTTGACAAACTCCTTTTTCTCAATCCTCTCATTACCATCTGCATCCAACATTTTAAAAGCCACATGAAACCCAGTGTGGGGTTCTGCAATGAAGTGAAAAAATGAGTAACTATTTAAAGGTCGGTAAAATGCAACTTAATTGCAGTCAGATCTTCAAATTTGAAACAAGCCAGCATGGTGCTGGTGGCTCACACCTCTAATCAGGAAGATTATGGTTCAAAGCCAGCCAAGGCAAATGGTTAGCAAGACTCTATCTTGAAAAAACCCATCACAAAATAGGGTTGGTGAAGTAGCTCAAGGTGTAGCCCCTGAGTTCAAGCCCCAGTTCCACCAAAAGAAAGAAACAAGCCACCAGAAGCTATGAGTAAGTGCCTAACACAGAAGCAATGCTTTCTCTTTCACCTATTTTCAAAGGTGGGTGTGTGGTGTTACGGCTTTGCCCCGCCTTCTCTAGCACTTTTCCATGGGGCTGCAGCTTTGCCCTCCTATGCAAAATCAACTTGAGAACTTACCTCATTCTACTAGGGGCTCTTCTTGTAATAAACTTTGGTTATTTTCACAGTAATTGTTACTTTTTCTTTCCCTTTCTGAATAGGAGGTTTTTGTTGTTCTTTTTTTTTTTTTGGATGGCCCTGAGGTTTGCAGTCAGGGCCTTACACTTGCTAGGCAGGCGCCCTTATGGCTTGAGTCACTCAGCCCTTTTTTGTGATGGGTTTTTTTTGGGATAGGGTCTTGAGAACTATTTGCCTGGGGCTGGCTTTAAACTGCACTCTTACTGACCTCTGCCTTCTGAGTAGCCAGGATTATAGGCATGAGCCACCAGCACCAGATCAGAATAATTTAACCTTTTTATTTTGTCAACATTTACATGTACAAAAATGTTGTAAAGACAGTAGTATCACCAGACTCTTTACCAAGCTTCCCTCTAATTTAAGGTTTATATATCCACAGTATAGTTATCAAGACTGAGAAATTAACGCTGGTATAGCATCATGTCTTCTTTTTTGGCAGTACTGAGGCTTGAGCTCAGGGCCTCACGCTTGCTAGCCAGGTGCTCTACCATTTGAGCCCCACCCTGCCTTGGTACAGAATTATGAACTAAACTACAGACTATTTGGATTTCCTATTTTTTCACTAATACTGCCTTTTCTGTATTTTAGGATCAAATACAAAATACATGTGGCATTCAGGTACTCTACCTACTTGGTGTCATCATCTGTGGAAATTTCTCAGGCTTTTCTTCTTTCCCATGACCTTCATGCTTTGAAGAGCATAGGTAAGGACTGTGTATGCCAGATGAGAATTTTTTAATATCCCTGAGTGAAGGCTCACTATTATTATTGTTCTCATCAACAACAATTAAACAAAAATTCCTTCTACTCAGGAAACAAAGTTATGGGGTGCCATGATGTGTGGGAAGTAGAAGAGACTTAAAGGGATTCTCTAACTCAATATTATTATTTTGTAGATATAGAAATTAAGGTAACAATATTTTTAATGACAAAGACATAAATGCCAAACTTCACAAATCCTGTTTGGTAATAGAGAATTCCACATTATTGTAAAAAAAAATTATGGAATACTTACTAGTGAGGATTGTAAGCAAGAAAAGATACTCAGTATATGAAATGAGCCCTGAAAAAGAAAATAAAACATATCAGAAAATACATTTTAGATGGTTTACAAGTAAGCCAGGCAGGTGGTTCATGGTTATAATCTCAGCTATTCAGGAGAGGAGACTGGGAGGATTGCAGTTGGAGGACAGCCTGGGCAAAAAGTTAGGGAGACCCCCATCTTGTGGTCCCGCTATGCAGAAAGTGTAAAAAAACTATTGTGACCTAGGATGACCTGGGCAAAAACAGAAGACTGTCTGAAAAATAACTAAAGCTCAAAGGGCTTGGGGCGTACCTCAAGTAGTAAAGTCTTGCCTAGCAAGTGTGAGGCTTTGAGTTTGAGCTTGGAATATTGCCACATAGAGATATTAACAGTGAAACTTCACCTAAGTTTTAAAAAAAAGACACATTTTTTTAAACTTTAAATTACTTCTCTTTGGTACAGTGAAAAAAATTTTGTAACAGTTGAAGTACTGTTTTAATACTTAAAAAGACAATGTTTATCAAGACACTATTACTAGGTAAAGAAGGTGTGACAGTTTAAGTGTCAGCCTGACTGGGCCAAGGAGTGCGGAGACTGAACTTTATTTTTAGTTGTGTTTATGAGGGAGTTTCCAGTCGAGATTAGCATATGAACTGACAGACTCAGAGTAGGCTGCCTTCTCCAATGTGTGGGCATCATCCAGTCTGTCCAACAAAAAGCAGAGGAAGGAGGAATCCAGCTACCCTCTTCCCTTTCTTTTGCCTGCTGGGACAGTTCATCTTCTCCTATCCCCAGATGGGATGGGATTTATACTACCATCAGCTCTGGTTCTTAGACCTTTGAGTTTAAACTGAACACACACCTGGGCTTTCCTGGCCCTCTGCAAACTGGAGACTATATGACTAATTTTTCATGATAAAACTATGTATCTCTTACTGGGTGCTGTTTCTCTGGAGAACACTGACTTTTTTTAATGGGGAAAATTGATGCTGGCTATCACTAGAGGTCTGATTTGTATATTACTCTATGTGGTTTCTATTCAAATTTTACTATTCATAACATCTCAACTGAAGCAAATTTAAAATTCAGTAGAATAACACTTTTAAAAGTGCTCAAAGAGGATCCAAAGAACTTTCCACTGTTCTTGCTGGATAAGTCTCCCAAGTCAACTGTTTTCTAAACTGTGGTAAAATACAGTAACATAAAATTTATTATTTTAACCATACAGGTCAGTGGCATTAAGTAATCTCACAGGACTGCACAACCGTTATCCCAGACTGAAATGCTGTACACACCAAACACTAACTCATCATTGCCCCAGTCTCCGGTCCCTGTGACTTCTATTCCACTTCCTGTCTCTATGAATTTGTCTACTCCAGGTACCTCACACAAGTAATATCACACAATATGTGTCTTCTGGTGACAGGCTATTTCACTTAGCATAATGTCTTTAGGGTTTATAGAAATTGTGGCACATGTTAGACTTTTAAAGGCTGAATAATATTCTACTATGTGCACACAGTACTTGTGTGTCTGTTCACTTGTGGACGAGTATTTGTTATTTTCACCTGTGGCTCTTG